GCCTCCCCAGGTCTGCTCTATAAGCTAGCTGTTTCTTTCATTTAAGGAAGAACAAAGGAATTGGCTCATGAATCATCCTAACACCAGTGAGCTTCTGCTAAAAGACTTTGGAGACCTGACATCAAACACACACAATTGTGAAATTTATTTTTCTACCTACAACAGTTTTTTCTTCTGGATCAAGACTGACTGGCTAGAGGTTGTGTAGATTCTCTATCACTTTTAGACACCTTGTTTCCCCCTAGGACCTTATTGCAAGGGTGAGAGGTTCTAGAGTCAGCCCGGAGCAGGTAGAGGCTGAGGAGCAGGGGCTCCTACATTAGTATCACATATACATGCAAGGTTTTAGGAGCTGTGGGGAAGAGCTGCTGTGGGGCTCTAAGTACCATGGGAGGCTGTGGTAAGGTGGAAGGAGCCTCTTTTTATAACAGTTCTTCCTTGATCAAGAGCCTTTCAGTGTGCTTTGAAGGAATTTCTACCCTCTCACTATTGTGAACATCATTGATTCCATCAATTTCAGATCTCTCTCTCTTTCTGATTTTCTTTTTTTTTGGTTCCTTTTGCTTTCTTTCTTTCTGTACTGGTCATTGAGCCCGGGGATGCTCTACCACTAAGCTACATCACTACATTTCTAGCCCTTTTTATTTTAAGACAGTGTTTCATTAAGTTGCTGAGGCTGGCCTCAAACCTGCCATCCTCTTGCCTCAGACTCCAGAGTATCTTGGATTACAGTTGTGTGCCACTGCAGAACCCAATTTCAAAATTCTTTACTTTTTGTGATCTCTCATTTGTAGACACATGGACCTGACATCCTAGGATGTGTGTGTAGATTTGGATTAGTTCATGAGTTTATTCATGCAGGCATCTGGCCTTCTGCACACTGTGAGCTCATGAGCTTGGGTAGTTTTATGATGGCTGCAAAAAATGAAAGCAGAGGTGACAGTCAGTAAGGTCAGAGAGATGCCTCACAGACCTTTCAGCAGAGGGTCCTAAACACAGTGAACAATGCACAACCGGCTGCATGTGTGGGAGAGAGGGGCTGAAGAGATAGGTAGTCAAGGGCATGGGGCCGTGGCAGGAAATGCCCCAGTGTGCACTTCTTTGTGCACTGTCCAAAGAGGACGTGTGTGCAGTGGGTGGTTGGGGGACATTGGACTTCTCCTCTTTGCTTTGCCGTTCACCTTGACGTGCCCTCAGCTGTGAACCTCAGCAGCCGTGCAGACTCCATGCTGCTCCAGGTGGACCTGGCAGGGGCCCTGGAGACTGGTGGGCCAGGTCGTTCCGGGAGAGAAGAACATGTCCTGGTAGAGGTGACCCAGACGGATGCACCGGGCTCCAGGCGGCGTCGGCAGCAGCAGGTTATGCTTATGTGTTATTTGAAAGGAATTGTAAAAATCTCATTTCATCTCATTATAAATTAGGTTTCCTCTTGAATGAATTTGATGGAAAGCCATAAGGCAATAGCGCCATTATTAGTCAAGCCATTGACGCTTATCTCCCTCTTTGTTGTTGAAATTCTCCTCCCCGCCACCTTTTTTTTCTTCTAAATCATTTATAAACTCTTGCCATTTCAGGAAAATCAGACTTGTGAGTTCTTCCCTCAGAATCATTTTACTGGGCCATTCAGGGAAACATTCTATATTCGAAAGTAGTTTTTGTTGTAAAGCGACACTCAACCTGGGCCTTACCCTATGGTATAGAAGACACGCCAACACCACAGTGGCCTGGTGTCTGTGGGTAATTGCTGAGAGGACACAGGTCCCTGAGCTTCTGCATCTCTACCCGTGGGCCACTGAGCCTGGTCTTCAGCTCACGTTCTTTAAAGGCGGTCTACACATAGGAGAGCCAGCAGCAGGGGTGGACATCCAAGGCAGGACACCTCTCTTTGCAGTTTGACTCATCCCCTGATTGTCACAGTGCCTTCTGCATGGAAGTCATATTCCTCGTTCATGGGTTTCCCTTGATATCACCAACCAGTGGGAGAAACCCCTGCCTGTGTCCAGGGCTGTACCCCTCACATTTTCCTGCTGTGCAGAGTGTGGTTCACAGAGCAAAAGCCTAATTATGAACAAGGATGCAATTTCCTGGTCAGTGGCTGGTACAATACAACATTCCAAAGCCGGCTGTGCTGGCTGAGGTCTGAGGACATAACCTTGGTCCTGCACAGTTCGCTGGCAAGGGGCTCACTGGTAATGAAAGAGGAGGGCACACCTCTGCCAACCCTGCATCCATGACCTTTATGCAGAAGAAGATGGGACAACCTGCTCTCTTTAAAACATTATTCCATAATAATAAATCTGAATTGATACACTATTGATGCATACTTACGGGGCATGATAGTTTGATACATGCATAACCATGGGTAATGATCAAATCAGGGTAATTAGCATTTCTATCTCCTCCAACATTTATCATTTCTATGTGTAAGAGAGCTTCAGACTCTTCTAGTTGTTTTGAAATAGATCACAAATTGTTGACTATAGTTACCCTACTGTGCTATAGAACACTAGAGCTAATTCCTGCTGTCTAGCTGCCTTCTCAGCACATGCATATTTATAACTCAAATTAAATGAGCTATATCAAGCTTCCCTGCACTCACAGGAAGGCTCTTCATAACGTGTTGACACTCCCCAAATGCCCACGTACAAATCCAGCTCCAGAAACGCAAAGATCACAAGAGCTTTACTAAAACACTTTTTCCTTGAATACGCTCTTTATGAGCACCCAAATATTTTAAGAGAATTCCTGTTCTTTTATGCATATGCTTCTCTGCTTTGACCAATTTCAGAATTCCTAATTTCGATTTCCTTTGTGATTTGTGTGTAGACTTTAGTCCTCCCAGAGAAAGTTTCCTCTCCTGTCCACCAGGCTGCCCCTCTGCATCTGTCCTTGGCACCCTGCTCTGCTGGGGACAAGAATGTGAGGGCAGGTTTGCCTGCAACACATGTGGCTCCATGTCAGGCCTGTTCTGGTGAGGCTCTTGTGACATGGGGTGTGGAGAATTTTCTGTGGGAGGGTTTGTTGTTTCCAGGTTGCGACCAGGAAGCATTTCTAAGGAAGCATTTCTTGTAAGTTGCCTTGGAGAACTCCAAAGAGTTCTCTAAGTCTTTAATAATCGTGGTGATTTCTTTTACTTATAATAAATCAGTATGGTAGGCCCTTCCTACCCACAAGTTCTACATCCAAGGATTTAACTAAATTGCAGATTGCAAATTTTTGCAAGATAAATTGTGTCTGTACTGAACATGCACATTTTTTTCCCCTTGTGATTATTCCCTAAATGATACAGAGTAACAACTATTTACACAGCATTTACATTGTATAGGTATCATAAGAAATCTAGAGATGATTTTAAGTGTAAGAAGAATGTGTGTAGATTATATGCAAGTAGTAAGCCATTTGGGCAAGGAACATGAGTGTCCACAAATTTTGGCATACTTGGGGTTCCTGGAAACAATCCCCTGCAGAAACGGAGGGAAGACTGTATTTACTTCTATGCTTTTCATACCTTTGTATACAAATTCTGTATTTGTTCTTCTGTGTTCTTTTTTTCTTAATACCCCCTTAATTCCCATATCCATATAACCTGGACAAGCTCCTAATGTTAAGGATGCAGGAATTCATATTAAAAAAATGGTCTTCTATTATTCTCTTCCTATTTTACTTATTTTAAATAAAGACCTACACTGAATGGAACCAGATATCCCAGATGAGATTTCAAGTGAAAAGTCTTACCACAATTTTATGTTTTTGGCTTTTACAGGTCACTCACAATTGGACGGTAGTTTTAAATCCCAGAAGAAGTGAGCATTCAGTGGTGAGCAGGACCTTTGAGATACTGAACAGGTGGGTCCTCAGGCGAGACAGGCCTTGAGCAGACGGTCTCACTGTGTTGTCTGTTTTCCGTTGGTGTAACAGAATACCTGAGACTGGGCCATTTATGAAGATTGGAAGTTTAATTGGCTTACTGTTCTGGAGGCTGGGAAGTCCAAGATCCTGGTGCCAACATTTGCTTGGCATCTTAAGGATTTGCTACCTGGTGACATAGTGGAGGCCATCCCATGGAGAGACAAACAAGTGTGCTTGCTCAGGTCTCTTCCTCTCCTTCTAAAGCCACTATTGTCATCCACTCTGCCTTCCTGACCTCACCTAAGCCTAATAATGTCCCAAAGGCATTACCTCCAAATTCTATCCTCATATGAATTTGAGAATTAAGTTTCTTTTGGGGGAATGTATTCAATCGTAGTACTTGCCTATAAGTTTGATTTCTAGGACACCAGACTTTGGCACAAATAGCACTAGATGTGTCGTATGGTTTGGATGTGGTGCTCACGCAGTGTAGAAAGTGAATACAAAGACTGCCTGAGGACTCTCCTCTTGGCTGATAGAGGCCACCTTCTTGCTGGGTCCTGCTGGGGTCATCCCTTTGTGTGTCTTTGTCTCTTCTCATAGGGACACCAATCCTACTGGATGAGGACTCACCTAAGATCAATCCTAAGTGACTCCTTTAACCTTTATAACCTCTTTGAAGACCCTACCTTGAATACAGTCACATTCGGAGGTGCTGGGGGTTAGAAATTCAACATGTGAATTTGGGCGGGGGGATGCGATTAGACTCATAAAAGTTATTGACTGACCTTTAAAAAGTGCTTCAGCTTCATGAGTTTACTGGCAAATACCATAATATGTGGTGTTTTGCTAGAGCAAAACAAGGGAAAAGAAAGGCAGGGGACACCGTGAAAAAGGAAAGGAGATCAGTGGAATGAAGGAGGAGGGTTGAGGGTGAGGGAGGGATGGCAAAGGGGAGGAACAGTGGAATGAGGCTGATCAAATTACACTGTGTGCTTGTACATTCACATGTACCCTGGTGAGTTCCACCTTTGCGTACCTGTAAAATACCAATTTATAAAAACAATAAATAGATGGGGGAAGACCAGTGGAAATAGCAGAGGGAGAACAGGCAGTGGGGAAGGAGATACTGGGGACAGAAACGGAGCAAATTATATTTCATGCTTGTGTGGTTTCATCGACAGGAACCCCACTGTTATGTATAGCTGTAAAGCACTCATAAAAACACACACAAAAAGAAAAGAAAATATCTTCATCATCACTAAAGGGGAAAAAAGTGCTTCAGCTTCAGCATGCCACAAACTTCTGATTTTTCACAGCCTTCTCGTTTGTGGCGCTTTATCCCACAATCAGAGACGGAAGTCTAAAGAATTGGTTTTGCTGTTTGTTAGCAGACAGATCAGCCATATGCTGGTGAGGAAGATGAGACAAAGCTAAAATAGCTGTGCAGGCCCCTGCTTTCAGTCTATGGTCAGAGTAGCACCTGCAGGGCCACACTGAGGATGGGGGCCAGGGAGCCTTCATTTTCGGGGTCTTTTTGGCCACAGAAGGGCTGCATGCTGCACCTCACGACGCTGACCATGATGCTCGGTGCTCTTCCATCTGTGACACCAGGCATTTGGCTGGATCACTCTGAGATCCATTTGGGCTCTGGTTATGACCTGGCTGACTTGGGTTAGAAAGGACACCAAAGGAATTGTTGTTCTGGGGTGTACTGGTAATTTACAACCAACTGTTGACCTAGGATTTGTTTCCCTGGCCAGCTGCAAAGTCTTTGCTTGATTCTGCAGAGAGACTGTTTCCATCAGCATCCGGGCCTCCCTCCAGCAGACCCAGGTTGTTCCTCTTTTGCTGGCTCATCAGTACCTGCGGGCAAGTATAGAAGCACAAGTGACCATCGCTGCGGCCATCCTTGCAGGGGTCTACGTGCTCATCATATTTGAGGTGATCATCATGCCTGTTCTGCTTGATTTACTACTGCCCACGGTCGGGATATTTTAACTTGTTAGATGCTTTGCTGAGCTCATTCCCGACCACTTAGTCTGGAACAGTGTCCATCCTAGAAATTAGCACATCCCTCATTCCACATAGAAAACAGAACAGTAGCAGAGTATTTGCTGAATCTTGGACACTTGAAATATGCAAGATGAGTTGTGAGGGGACCAGCAAATAGGTACATAAGGAAATGGGATAACATGATTTTCTGATCACTCCAAGTATGACTTTTAGGGGTGACCTTGATCAGACACGTTTTGAACTTCTCTGAGACTCAGAATCTCCATCTGTATGATGGGCATACTACCACCCCCTACATGCTTCAGAGAATGGACACACAGGGGGTCATGGAAAACCCACTGGCTGTGCGAGGCAGAATTATTATCTTTCACATGTTATCAATTTGCTAATGGGCATTTTCACAAATGATCTTAAATCCTGCCAATTTGATGTTCCTGGAAAATTATGTGTCTTTATCCTGAATAGCATGAAGTAAAGTACAAACACTTTCTGGTGGGACATGTACATTGTTGACTTAACTGGGACACCAAACATCCCAGTAGCACGTTGACAGGAATGTTGGTTCAGCGTGTCGGCTGCAAGATGAGTGGCTGATGTGAGTCTGAAGAGGCACATCTTAACGAGCCTGGGATGGGTATGAGAAATTGCTTGGAATTGTCAAGGAGGTGGCCAGCAGCAAGAACAGCCAGGAAAGTTCTGGAACTTTGAGTTTTTTCTTTTCTTTCTTTCTTTCTTTTTTTTTACATACCAGAATATACTTTATTTATTTATTTAATATTAGACATTTTATTTATTTTTTATTTTTTTAGTTTTATTAATTTTTTTAAATACATGACATGAATTTAAATCTTCTGTCATTAAATACATGACAGCAGAGTACATTACAGTTCTTATTACATGAATAGAGCACAGTTTTTCATATCTCTGTATATAGAGTATGTTCATGCCAATTCATGCCTTTATACATGTACTTTTTTTTTTGCATGACAATTCCAACTCTGGGATGGGGACCATTACAATGAACATGCTAAGGGTCACCCTCACCCCTTAGACTCAATCAAGCATTACTGGACAAAAACACGGAGTAGGCGTCCCTGTCCTGAGCTGGAGGAAGCGGCACATTCTCCAGAAGAGGAGTCCTTCTGGAATCTGCCTATTTGCTTTTATCATTTTTTCCTTTTCAATTGACACATAATAATTGTACATATTTATGGGTACAGTGTGATAATTCAATACATGTACCCAGTGTGTGATAACCAAATCAGGGTAGATGGCATTTACATCTGTATCATATTAATGTTTGGGTCCTCCATGGTCCTCTCTTCTAGTTCTTCATTAAATATATAATAGGTGTTGCCAACTATGTCTCTCTACTACATGGTAGAACTCTAGAGCTCATTCCTCTGCGTATCTGTTTTAGTACTCTTTGTTCAACCTCCTGCTATCTCTGTCCCCCATGCCCTTCTCAGCCTCTAATAATCATTATTTCAGTCTTTTCTTCTTTGGGACCAACTTCTTAAGCTTCTGCTTGTGCAGTATTTGTATTTCTGAATTTGGTGTATTTCAATTCACATAATGACCTCCATGCATTTTGCTATAATTGACAGGATTTCATTTCTTATGGCCAAATAATATTCCATCATACTGTATCCATTTCTGATAGACACCTTGGTTGATTCCTGATCTTGGCTGTTATAAATAGTGTTACAATAAACATGGAAGTGCATGTATCTCTTCGATGTAATGCTTTTAATTCCTAGGGACAGACACCCAGAAATGGGGTAGCTGGATCATATGGTAGTTCTACTTTACTTTTTTTGAGGAACCTCCATACTATTCTCCATAATGACTACACTTATTTGCGTTCATTGTTTGAGTTCCCTTTTCTCTACATCTTTGCTGTTATTTTTGCATTTTTGATTAATAGCCATTTTGAGCATTTTTCTTGTACTTTTCTGATGCCAGTTTTTTAAAAATTTATTTACTAAGGGTCTGAATCCTGTTTTACTATTGCTGGTTGTATGAATTTAGGCAATTTAGTCCTTCTTAAAATCAGCTTCCTTATATATATATATTAAATTGGACTGAGGGGATAGTATATTTTTTAAAAAAATATTCTAATTTGTTATCTCTAGTTTAGTTTTTAAAAGCCTTCTCTGTTTTTCTAAGATTTATTTACCTTTTTGGTATAGTTGTATAACCCTTGAAAATTGCATTATTTGTAGAATTTTATTAATGTTATATTAATTAATAGTTATTTTAAATAGCCATTCAGAAAAAAAAATGCTCCCTCTCTCCCATCAGTCATCCTGAGATTTAAAAAGTCCTCTAAGAAGGCCAATTCAACATGGCTTCTTAACAGAAAGTGGGAAGGGGAGAAGAACTTGCAAACCAGCTACATGGTGTATTGTGAGGTCTCAGGTGGGCTTTGGCTGATGGGAGGCTTGGAGTGGGGTTAGATTCTGCCACATGAAGTGGGTGGCAAGTGCTCCCAGATTTTCCTCCCCATGCAGACCACTCATTTCCTGGGAATCTTCCACTGGGTTTTCCTGTACAGCTCCTCTCTGCACCGGTTGTTCAAGGACCTTCTGTCATTTGCTGTTCACAAATACCTGCCTATGACAAGTTTTTATTCTTTATGGTTGAGTAATATTCCATTGTGTATATATACCACACCTTTTTTATCCATTCATCTGTTGTAGAGTATCTAGGTTGGTTCCATAGCTTACCTATTGTGAATTGAGCTGGTATAAACATTGATGTGCCCATATCACTATAATATACTGGTTTTAAGTCCTTTAGGTATACTGAGGGGTGGAATAACTGGGTCAAATGGTGGTTCCATTCCAAGTTTTCTGAGGAATCACCATACTGCTTTCCAAAGTGGTTGCACCAATTTGCAGTTCCAGAAGTAATGTATGAATGAACTCTTTTCCCTACATCCTCACCAACATTTACTGTTGCTTGTTGTCTTGATAACTGCCATTCTGACTGGAGTGAGATAAAATCTCAGTGCAGTTTTAATTTGCATTTCTCTAATTGCTGGAGATGTTGAACATTTTTTCATATATTTGTTGATCAATCATATTTCTTCTCTGTGTAGTGTCTGTTCACTTCCTTTGCCCATTTGTTTATTGGGTTATTTGTTTTTATGGTGTTAAGTTCTCTGAGTTCCTTAGATATCCAAGAACTTATTACTTAGTTCCAGACCACAAAGGTTTTTTTTTTTTTTTAAATCCTTGAATTTCTTATAGTTTTACTTGGTACATGTAACTTCAAGATCCATTTAAAATCAGTTCTTGTAGATGGGTAAGGTTTAGGTGGAGGTTCAATTACTCCAATACCATTTATTAACAAGGCTATCCCTTCTCTATTGAATTGCTTCTGTTCCTTTGTTAAAAGTTAATTGGACTTATTTGTGGGATATAGTTCAGGATGCTATTCTGTTACATTGATTATGTGTCTATCCCTCCACCATTACCACACTATCTTTTTTTAATGGTTTCTATTGGTGAATCCAAATTATACATAACAGTGGGATTCATTGTGATATATTTTTACGTGTACATAACATACTTGGATTAATCTCACTCCCCAGTTCTCTCTGCTTACTTCCCTCCACTGATCTCCTTCCATTACTCCACTGAGTACCACACTGTCTTGATTACTGCAACTATATCATAATTTTCATTCTGGAACGAGTGATTCTTCCCACTTATCATTTTCTTACCCCAAATTGTTCTAGCTATACAGTGGTCTTTGTCTTTCCATATACATGTTAGAATAACCTTATAGTCCATGAGTATGGTATGTCTCTTGATTTATTTTGGTCTTCTTAGGTTTTTTTTTTTTAAATTTTCATCATACCGATCCTTTACATATTGTGATAAAACTTCATGTCTTTTCTTTTGAGCAATTATAAATGGTATTGAGTATTTATTTTGTTTTCTACTTGTTTTTATCAATACATGTAAATGCAATAGTTTTTTTTGTGTGTTAATATTGTGTCCTGTTATTTTCCTAAACTTACTTTTTAGTCCTTGGGGATTAAAAAATAGAATCCTTGATATTTTATATGTAGATAATCATGTTACTTATAATGGGGACAGCTTTATTTCTTTCCGATCTGTATCCCTCCAATTTCCTTTTCTTGCTAAGTCACTGTGGCTAGAATGAGAGTGATGGAAATGGATATCTTTGCCTTGTCCCAGGTTGTGAAGGGAAAGCTTTCAGTCTTTTATCTTTAAATATATTAATTTTAGATGTTTTGGAGATTTTTTTTATGATACTGAGGAAATTCCTTTCTTTTCCTACTGTACTAAGAGTTTTTACTATAATTGGGTATTGAATTTGCCTTTTCTGCATCAATTGATGTTATCATATGATTTGTCTTCATTAGCTGTTTGGTGTGGGTGACTACATTGATTTATTTCAGAATATTGGACCAGACTTGAATACGTGGAACAATATTTTTTTCTGATGTTATGTATTACTAAAATTTTATTGCTGTCATTACTGCTTTAGTTGCAATATACAGGTTTTGATCTGTTGAATTTCAGGTTAATTTTGTTTCTCTATTTAAAAATTGTCTTCCTTTTTGATACATATGTGATTCACACATATGTTGTTTAGTTTTCAAATCTTAGGAATGTTTCTGTTGTCTTTCTTTACAGTGTTATAGTTTGATTCATTTTTGGTCAGAGCCACTTATTCTACATTCAATTCTTTAAATTTATCAATTTTTCATGGTCCAGGTTTATGGTATGTCTTGGTGAGTCTTCTGTTGGCTTAAATAATGTAATTTTCCCTGTTTTAAACACTAGTATAACTTTCAAGTAGAAATCCTGTATAATTAGACCTTGTAACAACTCATGAAATACCAACCCTGCCCTTTTGTTGTCTTGTGGCTTGATAGAAGGTGAAGAAGC